CTCCCATGAGAGGTGTACATCAATTTGGTGCCTGTGGGAATCTAGCCCCTCACTATGTTGGAACTTACAAGATTTTGGCCCGGTGTGGTTTTGCTGCCTACCGTATCCAGCTCTAGAATATTTTGTCAGCAGTACATAATGTCTTCCATGTTTCCTAGTTAAAGAAATATTTGCGGGTTCCCAATGAAGTGGTGGAAATGGAAGAACTTCCTCTCCAGCCCGACTTGTCTTATATTGAGCATCCTGTCAAGATCTTAGATGAAAAAGAAAAGTGACTAGAAACAATGTGGTGAAGTTTTACAAAGTTCAGTGGCAAAATCACTCGGAGGACGAAGCAACGTGGGAGCAAGAAAGTTATATCTTGAAGCATTATCCCCACCTTCTTTTTAGTTAACCGAGGTCATTGTTTAAATCAGAATGTATTTCTTACCTCTTTTCCCACACTAGGCACATGAAATCTCGAGACGAGATTTTGTTTAAGGGGGGTAGATTTGTAATACCCTCGGTGTTACACTATAAATCATTTACTAAAACATGTCATGAGCATCATATTTATGTGTTAATGCATGTAATAGAGTGTGTAGACCAATTTCTGTAACTCGAAATGATCAACTAGAATGCGGAACGAAAGTTAATTCAATAGTCATGTTATGTCACTTAAGGTTGAAAACCAATCTTTATTAAGCAAAAATGCTATAGAACATGTATGAGATACTTGAATAAAGTCTGAAGTACAAACTTTGTAGATGACAATGAAATACTTGTTGAAAAATATTATTGTTAGATAGTATTTCTAATAGCTTAGAAATGGAACTTGGACTAAAATTCAGCCCAAGACTTAGCAAATTTTCAAAGTTGAAAGCGGTGTGACAATGCTATATTAGTGAATTAATTCTAAAAAATTTAGCTAAAGGCTTGTGCAATATTTTTGCTTGCTAGGTCACATCCAAGTAAGTACTTGTCAATGGTATAGGGGTTGGTTTAGTTAGTATGTGCTTTGATCATCAACTAATTGCTACAAAAAGCTAGAAAATGTTGTTTGGGCGCCGGTTGACAGCCTCCACTTGGCATGCTCATATTTTCTTTTCTAGTCTACCTTGGCCCAAGTATGTTGCTCCATTCAGTAGCCCTAGGTACCTTCTTCAGCTCGGCTGAGTTGGTTGGGTCATAACCAAGCTAGATGGGTCGTGGTTTACGCTTTAAAAAGCGTGCACAACGCATTTTTGGCCGGTTAGTCGAGTGTGGCTGGTCACCACGTGCCTGGGGCACCATTGGCCATTCTGTCTGCATGCCTGGCGCACTGCACGCTGCTACTGGCGCCATTGTCGGTGCCACTATGGTTGCATGCCGCCCTGTTGCGCTGCCCTGCTCCGCTGGCCATTGGTGCCGCTGTCGTCGCGTCACCGCTGCAGCGCGCACCGCCCTCCACTGGCCCCGCTGCCCCGGCTTCGTGGCGTTAGTGCATGCATGTGCACCCATGGTCATGTGCTGGTTAGCCGCTGCTGCCGCAGGCTGCCCGCTTGGGTGCACTAGCTAGCCATCAACGTGAGCCACCGCGCCCCACCCCCCTGCGCCTGGCTGCCCGCCGCGCTATGACTCTGCCGCCGCCGTCCCATTACCGCGCTGCACACCTAGTCGCTACGCCATGCCTCGCTGCCACTTCACCGTCATGTGCTCCTACACCGCATTGTTGCTTCCTTGCTGCTGCGCACGTGGGATGCCACCTCGTGGCGCCGTAGGCCCGCCATTAATGGCGCTGCGGCACGCGGGCCAGAGCCAGCCATGGCCATTTGCATTCATTGCTTGCGCCTGGCGTGTGTACCCCGGTTGCGATGGTCGTGTCCCGCCAAAGAGCGCCAGCCGCGTCACTGCTCGTCGTTGTTTCCACCGTGGCATAATCCCCTGCTTCCCGTTGTGGTCACATCATGGCCCCGGTGAGCCAGAGCGTAGGAGCTTGCCTTAAATCTCGCGTGCTCGTGTCTCCGCCTTGGCGTTCGTGTGCCAACTATCCCCACCCCGCCTTGAATTGTGTCACGACGTGCTCCAATTTAGAGTTTCCCCTCCGCCATGCCATTAAGGCCGAGACCGGCCGTGGCCGAGGGCAGCCACCCATCGCTCCACCCCTCATCAATCCGTCTTCACCACGAACTCTGCCTCCACCTCCACTTCACCCTGCGCACCTCACTTGCACCTCTATCGCCTCACCGTAGCCACTGACGTGGTCGTACCGTCTCGGAGCGCAGCCGCATCCCACCACCCGCACGTGGCTAGCCCTGTTCGGGGAACCTCCGGCCAAACCACCACTGCAGCCGCAACCAAGGTAGGATAGTGATTCTATAGCGCTAGCTAGTTCACCCCGTGGGGGCTTTGGGTGGTTGGCATGGTCGCGCCACTGTCACGCATGGCCGCACGCCATGGTCACCACTTCCGCGAGCTCCGCTACTCCTGTAACCTAGGCTAGTGTATGCGCTAGGGTTGTAGATGGGGGTCAGCCCATTAGTGTAACTAGTGCGGGTTCTAGCTGGCCGGCATGGCCGTCCAATGCCATCGCCATCTCGCCGACGCGCGCGTGGGTGGCCGAGGACCATACAGTTGTAAAGGAGGGAGTTTCTGAGGGTTTTATTGCATAGTTGCTCTCTCTCTAGGAATAGTGACATGGACTGTGGGTTAGTTTGCCCAGAGTTTAGGGGTGTTTTTGCAAGAGCACCACACAGCAAGGCCTCCCATGCCAAGGGCCAGCTTACTGTGGCGTGGGCAGCCTCTCTCTGTGGGCTGCCACAGCCTCGCACGCAGCAAGATTGTGCTTTGCGTGGGTCAAGTTGGGCCATGGAGTGGAATTCGTTTTTCCTTTTCTTACGGAATTAGAAATAGCTTTATATTTTAATTTCTGAGCTAAATTTTGAAAATTAATATCAATTCGTATAGATGTCCAAAAATTGTGAAACCAATTTTGTTAGGTTCCTAAAATTGTGCTCTATCTGTTAGTGTATTTAGTTCATATATATAGTTGTTGATACCAGCGGCTATTAAATCAATTGCGAGTGTTTAGTATTATTTAGATTAGTATTTGTAGGAATTTTTGTGGTAAATTGGTAATAGCTTTAACCATAAAATTTTTATAGTAGATTCATTGTATTATTATGTGCTCACTGTAATTTTTGTAGCCTTAGAATAGGTTAAAAAATATGGTAGCTAAGTACTCCTTGTTGTAGTATATGGGAAATCGTTAATAAGAGTAAGAATATATTTTAGTTGCTAAGTAGCACTTGTAGGTGAAGCCCTACTGGTTTGATGGGAATGATGATTAGCTCATTATCTTAGTCATTAGAGCTAGTTTAGTGGCTTAGTAGATGTATTCTTATTTTAAGAACTGTTGTTGTCTTAATATTGAGTGTTGCATCGTCATTGCATGCATGTAGAGAACGAGTTGGTGGAGTTCATGACCGCGGGCGAGCAGGAGTACGAGGAGATGATTGAAGAGTATGAGTAGGAGATCCTCATGCAGGAGGAGGTCCCGGAGCCACCACTGACTGACTGAGCTAACACCACGCCTGCCAAGGCAAGCCCCGGTGCATAACCCTTATTTTGAATAAGCACTGAATATATATAGCTATGATGTGCATTTACGTTACAGGCATTTTATGAAAACCACCTGCATAAATATATCTATCCTTTGAGTCATACTAGTACAGGTGCGAGTAGTTGCTATGCTTAGGATTTTTGGTAGCGTGAGTAACCTGCCGTTACAAACAATAGGTGATAATTATTATCACTCTTATGATAAAATGGTGAAAGAAAAAATAGAGATCGGGCAGGGGTATGGTACGGGTATTGGTGGGTGTAAGGGGTTGTGTCCCACAGCCAACGGGGCATAGCTTGGTTATATTATTTTCTCTGTCCGTGTCGGTTAAGGACCGACCGTTGCATTGGATTCTAGTCAAGTCATAGACTTATTATCCTGAACACATACTTGTTTATGGGAGTAGGGAAACCTCGTTGCTCTCTTGTCGTGGGTTCCGGCCCTTTCCGGACCGACTAATTGGAGGCGGGGATGGTAGAGGTCTAAGCACCACACTGAGTCTGGGACTCAGGTGTGGCGGCTTGGAGTCTAAGCTTGGACAAGGACCTGGATCCCTTGACAGAAGAGTAGTGGGTTGGTCCTGTTTGTACCTATGGTACAAACAGGACGTGTGTTTCAGAGTACCCAGCTGGACACATTGATTCGCGAATCGCCGGGCAATCCGGTACGACTTGTCTACAATCTAGCACCATAGTAAAAACTGGAAGATGAAAGATGGTGAAATAGATCTGTTTGCTCAACTCTTGCTTGAAAGTAGAATAGGTGCTTACCTAGAACGGTTAGATAATGAACTAATCATGACCGCTAATAAGAAACATACATAAGGCTTCACTACTAGTATTGCTTCTTGCAAAAAGGAAACCCAGCAAACCATTAAGCTTATCATATCCTTTGGAGTCAGGAAATTATTCCCACTAGTCGGGTAAGTCTTGCGAGTACATTGTGTACTCAGTGTTTATTTACCCTGTTGCAGGTGCAGCTTGAAGAGTAGCTGTTGTGTGGAGGATTCTTCTGGTGGGCACAGACGGATCCTTGTATTATACCGTTAGATGTTTATTGTAATTCCGCTGTTTAAATTCTGCACTCTGAACTTGGTACTATAATAATGTATTTCTAAGAACTCTGGTTATATGAAATGGACTAAGTATTGTAAACTCATTCTCATTATTGGATCCTAAAGGAAAAACGTGGATTATTCGAGTTCTCCCTTGGGGTGTGCTCAGCGGAATCCGTTCGATGTAGCTTATTTTCGGGGTGCTTAGTGTCTGGTGGAAGATGAGCGCCTCCGAAGATTTGTTATTTCGGGCGGTTCTGCCACACCGTCTCACCTCAATCCCAAGAGCAACGCGAGATCACAATTCACACAACCTCAGATCACCTGCAATTGTCGATCAGCAAAGCCAGCTTAAAGCCAGGAGCAATGGAGTTCACGTTCGGTGGCTTCAGCGACCCGGTGTTGTCGGCTGCGTTGCTGATGGACCTGCCCAACAAGCTAGAGTGGCACATGAACGCACCGACGTGGGCCTACGTGCGCGACCGCCGGGCCATGGCCAACACGCCCATGGACATCAAGGAGCTCCCATCCGGGGCGATCGTCCTGGCCATCGACATGCCCGGGGTCAGCCCCGCTGACGTTAAGGTCTAGGTGGAGGAGGGCAACGTGCTCACCATCAGCGGCGAGTGCAAGCGCCCCTCCGAGGACGGCGCCACCGAGGGCAAGCAACGGGCCGCCGCCGGTGCCGATGGCGAGAAGCAAGGGGTGAAGTACCTGAGGATGGAGAGGCGGATGGGCAAGTTCATGAGGTGGTTCCCGCTACTGGAGAGCACCGACCTAGACAGCATCCGCGCCGAGTACAAGGACGGCGTGCTCACCGTCACTGTCGACAAGAAGCCACCACCCGAGCCCAAGAAGCACTACCGGAAACAGTAGGATTGCCGAGTGCCTGACGGTTTGCCGAGTGTATTCCATCGGGCACTTGGCAAACACCACATTTACCGTGTGTATTTAATAAAACACTCGGCAAACATATAGCACTCGGCAAACTAAAACTTTGTCGTGTGCCTAATATAAATCACTCGGCAAAAGCAAACTTTGCCGTGTGCCAAATATAAAACACTCGCAAACTACAAAAAAAACTCTCGGCAAAAATGGACACTCGGCAAACTGGAGTCACGTGCGTTGGGCGTGCGGCGGCCATCTGACAGCCGTTGGGTGCACCGTCCTGCCGTTAGAACTTTGTTGAGTGTCCGTTAGAGACACTCGGCAAAGACAAACTATGCCGTGTGTTTTTATTGACAATCGGCAACCTAATTTGTTTGCCGAGTGTTTTTGTTTACACTCGGCAAAGTAATGTTGTTGCCGAGTGTTTTTAATGGCACTCGGCAAAATAATTTTTTTTCTCTCCTACCCTCCAAACTTTTTCTACTCTCCACATACATCATGTGGTACTACATGTTAAAATTTGATATATTTCTCCATCTATTTGCTATATTTAAGTAATTTATTGCATTTAGAGGAATTTTTTGGTTTAAGTCAAATTTGAACCGCAAGTTATACAAATAATGGAATAAATTGAGTGGAGAAATCATATTCATGTTATTGAGTCCATTTTGGGGCCTTACTAGGGAAATGAAAAGAATTTTCGAACATTTTATTCAGGAAACACGACCACGAACGTGTGGCCGGATGGTTTTTAAATTCTAAAAAAAGCAAACGAAGTCTGAAAATGACGAGATTTGTCAAGATCTCCTGATATCATACGTGGGGACTTTGAAAAAATTTTGAGAAGGTTTTGCACAATTTGTCACATAAGACCTTTACAAACAGAAGCATCTTCGTACAAGAATCGTAACGTTTAGAAGGATCCGATAAGATTTGGAGTCAAAGTGATGGGTCGAATCGGGGTTTGACTTCAAAACTTTTTATATAGGCAATAGACAACATAGATTGGTTCACGTCAAATTTTGGTAATTTTTCAGATCCGTTTGATAATTTTAATTTATTAACTGCAATTATAGAATTTTAATTGATATATATTGAATTTGAGCTATAACTGCATAAAATAATGGATTAATATTCGTAGAAAAATCAAATATGCATTGTTGAGTAAATTTGACAATGTATTTTTAAATTACATCGTAACAAATTTAGTAGAACACGCAATGAAGAAGGAGGACCGTGGAGCATGAAATATCGATTTATTTTGCCAAGTGTTTTGTAGCTGACACTTGGCGAAAAGAACAGTTGCCGAGTGTCATATAGGGGACACTCGGCAACTTCATCAACCGGCCCCACTGCACAGTATCTGGACGTAATGGAACATAAAAAAAATAATGCCGAGTGCCCCAGATCTTGGCACTCGGCATACTCCTTCAAAAAACTAATGCCGAGTGCCCCAGATCTTAGCACTCGGCATACTCCTTCATATACCCCAGCGGTTAGCACCCCTGGCCCTCACCCTCACCCTCGCGCACACAACACGCAACCGCACGCCGCCAACCCCCGGCCCACCGCACCCCACCGCACCGCGCCCCGCCACTGGCGCGGCATCGCTACCCCGCCCCCGGCGCCGCCCGCCCCGGCGCTTCCCGCCCCCAGCGCCGCCAGCCCTCGGTGCCCCGGCCCGCCACCGGCGCGTCCCGCCCCCGGCGCCCCACGTGCGAAGCTCTCTCTCGTGGCGACGACTGGACGACCGCCGCCGCCGCCCTTCGCCAGGTCTTCTTCGGGCCCTTCACCGGCGACGAGTACGCCCACCCCTTCTCTTCCCTTCCTGCTACGCGAAACTGAGCATCCAAACCCTAGCTTAACCTATTTGTATTCGGATCTGATATAATTACAGGAGTATACATGTGTTATGCCTACTAATTCGATTATGTTTCAAAAAATTATCTGGTGTAGTGTATGTATACACCCATGTCCTTTACTGGGCCGCGCCTGCTGTGTTTGTGTTCAAACCTTAACTGTACAAGTCTGCCTTTGTTGAGTGAGAATTATCTGTTGTGCTTGACTGGGGGATAATGATTGGGAAATAGCTCATTTGAAGATCTACCTTTTGCTGTAAATAAATCCTAAGGTGTAATGTATCTTGCCTGTTACCGGTCTGCCAGCCTATTTCTGTTCATCTTTGAAGTAATAGCTTGTTTTCTCCTATCCGATTTGCCTGTACAAGTCTGCTGCGCCGTACTGCTGCCAATCAAACATGTGACATTCCAGGGTTGTGTTCTGTGGTTCAGTAGCAGTATAGGTGGTGAGTCTTTGGATGCAGCTAGCCACCGTTAGATCTTCAGCGGCTTGTAAAAGCCTGCCAATTTGCCGCAAGAAGTGCAAGGACTCAGTTTGTGACCTGAACTGTGTTGCAATGCAAATGGACTGAGGTTGCATGCCCTGGAATTAAAAATAAACTTTGCTTGTTAAGAAATGCAAATGGCAGATGAGTTTGTATTTGTCTGTTAGGATCGACAAGGTGTAATGCTACTTTGATTTTCAATTAAATAGTAGGCCTCTGATGCTTCACTTGCCCTGCAGTTGCTGATTATATCCATGGCTTTGCTAAACATTTATCAATGTCCTAACATTACCTGACGAAATAGATGACCAATTGAACAGTCTGCTCAACTCAATCTCATATTTTAGCTTTATACTTCCACCTTTAATCTCGTCTTCTGGAACAGAGACCTTGTACAAATTTATTCTGTAGGTAGTGAATAGAAATGGTCATATCTCATTTGCGTTGTTATTATCCCAGATTGTGTTAGCTATGCAGCAGTACCGCTATTATGTGATGGCACGAATGGCAATGATTTATTACTGTACGTATGTACTACTAGTACAGTCAATGGCTGGCTGTTATACATTCTCAACCTGCCATTTCCAAATACAGTATATACTGTAATAGTGGCATTGCTGCTGTGTAGGAGTAGGAGTATCTTAAACGAGTACAGGCAGAGTGCAGCTTACTCTTCCTACAAAATTTTGACGTTGACGTACTATTATGAGACAATGTCATCTTTCTATTATGAGACAATGTCATCTTTCAGAGAGCCGTTTGTATCTCCTCAAAGACCATTCTCTCCATGACCATCACCATTGTGTTCAGAAATTCTTTAAAAGATGAACTCTCGTACAGTACACTCCTGCCCTAAAAAAGGGTATCACTCTTGTGACCATCACTCTTGCTTGAATCTTACAACCACATATGAACTTGCAGGTTTTTGCCGTCGCTCCCTGCCCCGCCCTGCCGCCTGGTTCCGCCTTGCCCTCGACTCGTCACTTTGCAGGACAGCAAGGTAAGGCATAAAAGACCCTTCTTTCCGTATCATGTTCGTATATCACGTAACCTAGCTAGACGTCTCCCGTTCGAAAGAGATACGGTTGGAAATATGCAGATCTTTGCATATCTATAACCGTATCTGTTTCGAATTGTCCACGTTTTTTGGACAGCCCGAGGATGTGTAGATGCGGTTAGTTTCCATGCTCTACTCCGATCCGTGATAGAGTTTCGGCAGCATCTCCCTGTTGTTCTCCGGATACACAATCTCCCTTCCAGGACATGTATTTGGAGAACAGCGGGGAGGTGTTGCCGAAATTCTGTCTCGGATAGGAGTAGAGATGGAAACTAACCCTATCTATACATCCTCGGGTGGGATTAGGACCTATCCTCACCTATTAGATAGTATAGAAACGTGTAGATGCAACGTGATTTTTTATATTACTCGCTGATATGCTAGAGGATGGATGACCATGAGTGGATGTACACGGGCCGCTCTAGTCAGACTTCGTTGACCGCTGAATGGATTGACAAGACCGATGCTTTCTTGGAACGGGCATTTGCAAGGGTTAAAGGAGCTAGTGTCACTTGGTGTCCCTGCAGCAAATGTGCAAACACGCGTCGGCAAACCAAGATGGTCATGGGTAAACATCTTTGCAAGAATGGATTTACGGCAGACTATACCAGGTGGATCTACCATGGTGAAGCAAATCGTGGGAGAGACGAGGTCGTGAGACAATGCATCGAGGAATATGATGGGGATGCCGAGGTAGGAGACATGTTAAATGACTATCATGAAGCACACTTCGATGAAGGACGTAGGGAGGAGGAGCCAGAGGCTACCGCAAAGGCGTATTACAACATGTTGTCTGCGGCACAGCAACCCCTTTATGGGCATTCCAAGGTTTCTCAACTGGATGCCATTGCACGCCTAATGGCCGTGAAGTCCCAGTTTAGCTTGAGTCGAGACGCCTTCGATGTTATGCTCACAGTTGTTGGCAGCCTGCTCCCGGATGGTCACATCTTGCCAAAGAGCATGTATGAGGCACAGAAACTCCTTCGTGCACTTAAGATGCCATACGAGTAGATACATGCTTGTCCGAAGGGGTGCATCTTATTTAGGAAAGAGTATGCGGAAGAAAAGTACTGTGTGAAGTGTGAATCATCTAGGTTTCTGGAGGTAGACTCTGTTGATGGTCAGAAGAGGCAGCTCGCAATCCCCATGAAGATCCTACTATACCTTCCTTTCATACCGAGGATCCAATGGCTTTACATGACTGAGGAATCCGCGAAACAGATGATATGGCACAAAAACGGACGTCGATACAATCCTAAGAAGATGGTACACCCATCCGATGGTGAAGCCTAGACAAGGTTT